AAAAACTAATAATGTCATGTATGGTGATTAACATTAACAATAAAAAAGATTCTCTCCCTCTCCTTCTGCCCCTCTCCCCCTGCTCTCTCTCTAAATAATAATAATAATAATAAGTAAAATAAAAATATAAATCAACTTCTTGTGATCAAAAGATACAGCTAGTTATGTTCTGGGTCACTAAGTGCCTAGCATAGTGGCTTGCATGTTATAAATGCCACATGTGTTGAATCAATTTGATTTGAGGACAGTCATTCCAAAAACATGCTGAACCAGGTTAGAGAAATAAGGACTCCACGATTGGGTCAAAATTCCTGTCTCCTCATTCCATCATGAACCTTGGAAGGATGTGGGAATTCACTCAGGTTCCGTAACATTCCTGGAGAAGAATGCCTTACGCACTTGAACTTCAAAAGGTTGAGACAAGAATGAATTACATAGTGGCTAAAATTACCTTCTGACTCTACAATCACAGGTGGTCTAGTAATGGAACAAAAACAATCACGCACCAGAAGGAGCTCCTGATGAGTTCAGATTTTTTTCCAAATGCATCTACACAACGAAAGAGGAAATAAATGTAGGTAAATACAGAAGGGTGGCGCGCGCGCACACACACAGCTTGGGGGAAATGACAAATATAAGATAGGCCTTTGTTCTCTTGTTTTATTTTTTTTTTAATTTGTTCATTTTAGGCAATTCCAGTTTGAGGACCAAGAATAAGAAAAAAGATATGTCCGTCAATGGAAGCAATGACAGGCGAAAGTAGATGTTTCTAACTCTCACTTTTGCTTTGATCTTTTATATCAAGAAAGGAAGCGTTGACCCTGAAACTGAATGAACAAAAGGAGCTAGCAGGGAAATGAAGGTCAAGTCAGTTAAGAAGACACCCAAGGGGTCCCTTTATAAGAGCTCAGCATTCTGACCTAAACAAATTACATCTCACGACACTGACACTGTTGACCAATGTGACCAAAAGCCAGGCAGTAATCTTCAAGAAATTAGGAAAAGTGGTAGAGGATGGGGACACATGTCTTAATTTTTAAAAAGAAAAATAAGGTAGGTTCTGGAAACAACAGACTCATCAACTTGATGTTGACTCACAGCAGAGGAATCCTAAAATAATTTAATGGAGCAGTTGGTGAGCATTTAGAAAATAAAGCAGCCAGCACCAATTAACCCACAGCGGTTCAGTAAAAACGAGGCAGGCCAAGCTGATCTCATTTTCTCTTTTGAGAGCATTGTGAGACAGGCGGAGCAAGGAAAGGCAGACATGTCTTGATTTCTGCCTTTGGAAAAGTTCTTCCTGGTGTCTGGTGGATAAAGGGTTAAAAGTGGGCTATATTAATGTACAGTTTTACCAAGGTGTAACGTATTGAATAACTAAACCCAAAGGTATCGACTGGCGGCTGCCAGATTCCATATTTGGCCCTCCCCTAATGAATATGTATCAACAAGATTAACACTTCAGAAGAAAAGTTTACCAACTCTGTAGGTGACACCAGGCTAGGAAGGAGTGCTCATCTATTGGATGCAGAATCATGAATCCAAAGTATCTCAGCGGGCAGCAATGATGCAATGAAATTTTAAATTCAAGTAAAAAAAAAAATTAACTCAACAAAATTCAAATTTTAAAAAATCTGATAAAAAATTCAAATCCTACACTGTATAAATCCTTGGATACAAATAGAGGACGGGGTCTCTGGAAACAAGACAAGCGACGTAAAGAAATAGACTCTTGAGAAAAGACCAGCAGCTATCGAAGAGGAAGAGAGACTTGCCTGACCCAGTTCATAGGAAAAGACCCAGAAGTTACGAAGAAAAGTGGGAAATGGAGCGTGAAAACCAGACTACTTCCCTGGGGGATGTGCGTGAGAACTGCCTCCAAATATTTGAAGGACTGTCCTCTGAATGAGAAATCAGAGAAGCCCACATCTCGAGGTGAGACCCCCCCCTTCAGAGGTCATGAGGACTAAGACTTGGACTCTGGAAAGACATTTCTTATCATTTTTACTATCCAAAAAGAGGATGAGCTGCTGTTGAGGTAACGAGGTCTCAGCTGCACGACCCAGCCAGACGGAGTGGGTGCAGACACACTGAGGGTTTAAGACATTGGGTGTGCATGCTGAGGAGGACATCATGTAGCTTATTCCCTTACGCACAATACCCATGACGGAATGAGGAGGGCAGCATGGTGTGGTGGTGAAAATCTCCGCATCGGCCTGCCCACGTTCAAATCCCAGCTCTGCCACTTGCTCGCCATGTGAGCGGAGTGACTTTGAGCAAGTTCACTGACACTGACACACACACACCCGGGACCAGGGGTTCCCCATCCGCAAAATGAGGATGATAGGAGCTTCTACCCCCAGGGGGCTGCTGTGAAGGTGGACTCAATGGCCACACCGCATCCAGAACAGTGTCTGGGGGTAGACAATGCAAAACAGAGCTTGCAATTGATTCTGCCATCTTTTTTACTGCTCTGAAGATTCCTGGTCACCGAGCCTGGGCACAGTGTGTTATTCACCTGAGCAGACAGGAGAGTATCACTAGAAGATGAGAAACGGGGTGTACGTGCCTAGGGAGCACTATAACATAGAGAACAGCACAGCAGGGAGCAAAAGGGAAAAGCCAGAGACGTCTCTCCTTGTGCAGGGACCCATGTGACTCCTAAAGCCGGCTCCCACTGGCAAACATTTCCATCCCCAGGTCCCCCTTAAGATGCAGGCTTCTGCCCTGTCTCTGTGGTCAGCAAGAGTCTGGGGTCTAGGGAGCAGCCTCGGCAGAGGTTGCCACTGGCTTCTCAGGCTCCTCTCCCAGATCCATGATCCGGATGGCATTTTCCTTCTTGGAAAGCCAGAAGGCAGGGTAGACCGGCTCTGAAAACTTGCACTCAAACTTGTGAATCAGAGTCATGGCCTCGGGCTCTACCCCGTAGAAGGAGAGGATCCCCCCCAGAAAGTCCACGTAGATCCCCAGCCTCCGGAAAGGGCTGGCTTTGAGCAGGGTTTCCGTGTCGCTGTGCCAGGCTGTGAACTCCTTCCCGTTCCAGTGGAGGCTCCAGGAGAAGTTGTTTCCAGAAATGCAACCGTTGCGCTCCTCCCCTTTCCGGTCGATGCCTTTGCAGGTCAGGCCAACGTAGGTGCCTGCCCCGGAGATCTCCACCTCGAAATAATATCTGTGCAGGTAGAGGCTCTGTTGGGACAGTACCTGCCGCCAGTGCACAAACCTGCTGGGGAGGTCCGGGTAGGGATGCTCCCAGGGCGTGGTGTTGGTGACCCTGCGATTGTCCTCCTGCAGCCGGAGATACCTGTGAGCTGTGTCCGGGTCAAAGGAGATGTCACACGCATCTGAGGGGATACGGAAGAATGGCGGGGAGGCAGGTCAGGAATGGACAGCTGCTCTGGACAGAACTCTTCGAACCCAGCCTGCCTCCCGGCTATGAGAAAACATCTCTCTCCTCTTCTCTGTTTACCCCAGGCCACTGCTCCCCCCAGAAAAGAGGTGGGCGAAAACCAGAGAACAGAGAACACAAGTCACTCACTCAACTTCTTTCCTTTCTGAAGGTCCAATTGCTTGGCATTGACCGTGTGATTTGAGGAATGGAATCAAGAAATAAAACCGACTGATTGAGTCATTCATTCATTCGACAAATACGTATTGAAAGCTGGGCACCGTTCTTCTCGGTGTTGGCAAGGGCTTGTGGAAATAGGCACTCATATACCCACACTTGAGTCTTTCTATTTTTTTTTTTTTAATTTGACCAATATATAGATAGCATGGTAAACTCTCAACCATTCCCTCAAACATATTGTCTTCCCAATCCCAGGGAAGAAAAAAATAATGGCACCTCCATGCACCCAGTTGCTGGAGTCACACTAAAGTTATTTTGGAAATTTCTTTGCTCCCATCCTCACCACCCGCCCCCCCCACACACACACACAGGTAGTCTCAAGCCCAGTAGATCCCACTTCTGTCCCAACCACTGCTTCACCCCAATCTAGTCCAGAATCATACAACAGGCTCCTTGCTGGCCATGCTGCTCTATCTTGACCCTCTTCCATCCCTTGTCCACCACAGAGCCGTGGAGCATGTTTCAGGGTGTAGGCTAAGGTAAATCATGTCACCCCAGCTTCAAGACCTTAGATGGTGCCTCTTGGCCACAGAATAAAGCAGTGACCCCTCACCCCAGCCTGCACAGCCGGGCATGACTGGCCCTTGCCCATGTCTCCAGCTTTGTCTCCTGCCCTCTGGCCCTTGATGGCCATGGTCCAGCCATCCTGGCCTCAGAAGTATGCAACACTGAGCCCACTTCAGGGCTTTAGCACAGACCAATCCCCCTGTGACATGATCATCGCCCTGAGCCTGGGGGATTCCTACTGATCCTTTCAAATTGTAGCTAAGGGTTCATGTCCTCAAAGAGGCCCTCTGTGACTTTCCACCACTTTCTCTCAGAGCCTTTGGGCTTCTTAAGCATCATGGTACTCCACACAATGTGTATAATCTATTTATTTGTTTGTTTCGTGCCTGTCTTCCTTCTAATCTATAATCCACATTTCAGATGGGACTCGATCCTGGGCTTCTAGCTCAGAGAGGATGTTCAGTGTATATCTCCCCAATGAATTAGCATATTCGAGCCTATTTAAAATCCATTAATATAAAAAATTACTTTAGATTAACCCAGAGTTTTCCAAACTCCTTTGTGTCTAGGTAAGGAACATTCTTTTTTTTTTTTTGTAAGGGAAATTCTTAGTAGTCAATGAGACCACTGTAGAAGGAAAAAAAGGACACAACAATCTAAGAAGTTAAAAGGAAAAATGAAGGAGTGCCTGAGTAGCTCAGTCGGTTGACGGTCCGACTCTTGATTTTGGCTCGGGTCATGGCCTCCGGGTAGTGAGATCAAGCCCTGTATCGGGCTCTGTACAGAATCTGCTTGAGATTCTCTCTCTCTCCCTCTCCATCTGCCCCTCCCCCAGATCTCTGTCTCAAAATAAATAAATAAAATCTTAAAAAAAAAAAAAAAGGAAAAATGAATGTGAACTGAGGACCATAAAAAGGCAATACAGGTGCTCACTTTGGCAGCATCTATACTAAAATGGGAATGATACAGAAATTAGCACGGTCCATATATAGAGGTGACATGCAAATTTGTGAAGCATTCCATATTTCTAAGGCAGTCAAAGGTACAAAGTTCCAGCTATAAGAGAAGTCCAGGGGATGCCATGTACAGCATGGTGACTATAGTGAACAATACCGTATTGCATATTTGAGAGTTGCTAAGAGAGTAGATCTCAAAAGTTCTCATCATAAGAAAAAAGAATTTTGTAACTATGTGAGGACATAGGATGCTAACCAAACTTATTGTGGCGATCATTTCACAATATATGCATACGTCAAATCATTATATTGTACAAAGTTATCTGTCAATAATATCTCAAAAAAATGTGTCTTAAAAGGCATATTTTTTAAAGATTTATTTATTTATTTTAGAGAGAGAGAGTAGGCACGAGGGGATGTAGGGGCAGAGGGAGAGGGAGAGAAAGAGAAGCAGACTCCCCACCAATCAGGGAGCCTGATGAGGGGCTCAATCTCATGATCCTGAGAGATCATGACCCGAGACAAAAATCAAGAGTCAGACGCCTGAACGACTGAGCCACCTAGGCACCCCAAAAAAGGCATATTATTAAAACTGTCTGCAGCTCTATGTTTCTAAAAGTTCCCAACAGTATCAGTAGCAGACTTTTACTGACCAACTCCTTTGGCAATCCTTAGCATCCAGATATTGAACAATAATATTCTCATCTAAGGGGAACCAGGACTTCTTGGCAAGGAGGTGACTCTATGTCTTGGGACAAGAAAATCAGAGTGGGTCTGGAATATTCTGTTGGCACCAGAAAGCAACGATATTTTTCAGAATTTCAAAGGCAGAATGTCAATGTCTAAAGGAGAAAGAGTGGTGGGGGTGCCTGGGGAGCTCAGTCGGTTCCAAGCGGCCGACTTGTTTTTGGCTCAGGTCGTGATCTCAGGGTCCTGGAATTGGCCACACATCAGGCTCCGTGCTCAGCAGGAAGTCTGCTTAGGACTCTCTCTCTCCCTCGCTTTCTGCCCCTTCCTCCGCTCTCTCTCTAAAATAAATACATAAATCTAAGTAAAAAAAAAAAAAAAA